TTCGCTTGTCTTCTGATACCAGTTGTAATATATTGCTCAAAAAGTTAAATAAGGAATGTCTAGATATTTCTGGTGCTGATATTCCTTTAATCCATCAGGTTAATAATTGAAACCATTTGGCTATACGTCCTTTTGCTGATAGTCCTGCAATGAAACGATAACATGCCCAACTCATAATATGTCCATAAGGTAACATCAATTGACTAGCATATATAAGTGGATATGAATTTGCAGTTCCAATTTTCCGTAATAAATTGAGGCATCTATGTGTTATAAATATTTCTCTAATAGGCATATTTCCACTACTAATGGTCCATGTTGACCTATTTATGTAATCTTGTTGTATGATAATGTTTAATTTCCTGGCTATAATAATATTATGTAAACTTAGGTTAGATTTTGCTTCTTGATGTCCTAGAAATAATGATTCTGAATCATGTTCAAAAATATTGTCATGTATAGCCAATCGCAACTGTGCAGTCCTACATCTTATCATTATAGATCTAGATGCTAGTGAATTACTATTTATTAGATATAAAAAAACAGTAATCTGATTTGCGCATATTTGATCCCATGGATTATTAATTTCTAAGATGTATTGATGATATATTGCTAATGTTGGATAACTTCTAGGCAACCCACATATTTGCTTAACTAATTTGATCACTGGAGTAAACAAGAAATTCCATTCATTTTCTGATAATATCATTAATTGGGCTACATAAACCACTCTTGAGATAAGAACGTGATTAATAAGATATGCAATATGTCCTACTGTAATACATTTTCTTCTAATAGGATTCAAAAATTTTTCAATTATATCCTTGATTCTTTTGATTGATCTTTTCCTTAAATTGGAAGAAGAGAAATAACATCCTAAATACCGTATCTCTTTATCTGTAGCTTGAACCTTTGAGTTGTCACGTCCAATAGTTATATATAATTCATCTCTAGACACTTTAGGATTTATTACCATCAGCTCAGACTTTTTTCCATTTATATCTACATCATGGAAATGATAGAATTGTGTGGCTATATTAATTGATACCTGAATTTTATCTCCTGAACTATTCAAATAACTCGTATCATCCATATACGCTATAACTGGTACCCTTAGACTATATTGTTGCCATGTTGATCGATCCTGAATATCCAATGGCCAAGTGTTTACCATTTCATATCCTTGTTGTTGATTGCATGCTTGTTGAATAGCTACAAGTAAAGGATCGTAAAAAATTCTCCAGAGTAAAGGTGAAATCGCATCACCCTGGTCAATACCGTCCCCCCCTATGAAGGTTGGGCTAGGGCCAAATGCTGTAATTATGCTCATTTGTCTATCTTTGAATAATCCTGTAATCCATAAAATAAATTTTTCTAGTATGTCTAGCCTTCTTAGTGCAAGCTGTAAGCTCTCTAGGCTAACTGAATTGTATGCTTTCATCATATCTTGGGTTACCACCCAGAGTTCTTTTCCATTTTCCCTTGCATCTTCAATTATATCATTCATTAAACGTAACGGTATTGCTGTGTTTTCTCCCTTAAGACCACAAAAATTCAATCCACGTAAAACTTTATTATTTGTCAAAATTGTACTTAAAAGGTTTGTTAATAATTTGGTGACAGATTTCCTGATATTATTTAGCAATGCTATAGGACGCGTGATGGCCAAAATATAATCAAATTTCTGCAGTTTTGGAATCGGATGAATAAGTGACTGTTTCCATTGGTCTGGCACAACTCCTATTTTTAGGGACAAATTAATGATCTTTAATATAATGGAGCTGGATTTGTCTGAAATGTGTTTGATTATAGTATATCCAATGCCTGAAGGACCTGGCGCTAAGTTTATGTTCACCTGTTCAAGTGTTTGTTGCCATTCTTCTAACGTTATTTCATCCATTAAATTAGCCATACACTCAGTAAATTCACCTTTTGGCCTATATATATTGCTCCAGAAAATGTCTTTCTCTATTGGTTTAGTGTTGCGTTTTCGTAAAATTCCTGCAAAAGTATCTTTTGCATGGTTTCTAATTGTATTAGGATCAAGCGCTAGTCTAACACTTTCATTCTTGTTGGATATTACTGCTCGATCAATAATAATATGTTCCTTAACAACATCCTGTGTGGAAAGTAGCTACTTAGGAATATCCGAATGTATAATATTGCAACGTTTTTCTATGCTATCTTAGATCTTGCTTAAACGTTGTGCTTGTAAATAATTTTTGTCTATTTTAACTCTTTTTTTGACTACATCTTTAACAATATTAATCCATGTGTTACTAAAAAGGCTGTGTGTAGGAATAATAATTTCCTCATACTTATCTATGAATTTATCGTATTCTTTCCTTTTATAATCATCATTATATTTATTAAATCTGTTCAGCCGATAATCTATCCAATGGGCATCTTTGGCAGCAATAAAGTCCTGATCTTTACAGATTTTCCTAATTAAACTTCCCAATCTAGTAGTATGTCGCATAGTTTTATCTGCAAATGATAACTTATGTCTTGTATTGTGGCTTCCTGGATATTTAACTAATTTCATGGGAAGTTCTATATTCATCGCTATAGATATAGCACTTATAATATTATCCCAAAGATCATTAAATCTACGTTTTATTACTTCTATCTCCATCAGTGTTCTTTTCGTCCCCTAATTGTATTTCATAATTAACTTCCTCTATTAGTTGTTGGAAGTCCCATGCTTCTATTTCCCTATCTAGTGTTTCAGTAAAATTTTTCCATTGCACATTGGTCATCTTACTGATATCCACTATACGTTTATCTTGATGTAAATCTGGATCCTGTAATTGATCTGGGACACAATGCCGGAAATTATTCCTAATGAATCCTGATATATTTAGCGTTGTTGATATAATACTATGGTGACTGTTTGTAGTCATCTGTGATGAGTGCACCAAAAATTCTACTGGAATCACGTCGGGTTCATATGTGATCCAGATTTGATCAATCCTTGATTTTGAGATAGAAGCTGATCTATTTTTGTTTTTATCCCATTTCTCATGTGTGAATAACTCTGCATCCGGATAGAGAACTCGGCACACATCATAAAGACCTAACTGCGATAATTGTATTAGAAATTGAGATCCTGGTTGTCTGGTACTGGGCGATCGATCTATTTTATTGTTAATCATGTCATTGAAATCGCCTAATACAACGTGCAGTACTACAGTATTGTGAACTGATCGGTTATGTCCCTCCATAACCATTTTCAACTCTTCGATCAAACTTTTCCTCATGTCTTGATCGTTGGGAGCAGCGTATATTGACCATACCCATATTTCTCTCTGTACGAACAGGAATTTAGCTATTATGATATATGGGGATATGCGCACTACTGAGTAATAATGCTTCATCCATCTGTTATGGATCACAAGTGCCGTTCCCGATCCTTTAGTTTTTTGATCGCGTTCACTGAAAATTATTGAATAAACTTTTGACTTAATGTCCTGGTTTATAAAATATTCCTGTCGATAGTCTATATTAGTTTCTGATATAGCCATAATATCGATACTATTTTCATTAATGAATTCCAGTAAGTTATGAAGTTTCTGTATAGACAGGACACTAGCAATCCCATTTATATTGTGTGCTGCAATGTTCAATTCTAAAAACATTGAATCTTTCATCTCTTGTTTGTTCGACTTCCCCTTAACAAATCTTAGCCTTTGTCTTGCTAAGAATACATTAATACTTTCTTCACTTGTCAATAAATCAACTACTTCTTCTATGTTGTCTTGATTTTTTTGAAAATCCCCCTCTTCAACCTTTAGTTCATTTGTTTCTGGGGTATATTTTCTTTTTCTGCTTCACCACCTGTTTTGTACCCTCTTTGTTGTTGTTGTGACCATTCGTCACTCGCGTGCTGTGTTGAGGACGTGTTGTTGTCTTGATTACTCTTGTGAAGATTGCTCAGAGCTTGGCATTTTTCCCTTTCTTCCATTATTACTATATGTGTAACTTCATTTATCATCTTGTGTAACCTTCACTTTTGTTTTTTGCTTAGACCGGCTAAAGAAAAAAACAATCCAGTCAATCTCTAATCTCCAAATAAATATATTTTAAAATAGATGAAATATTATTTTTATAATAAAAAATAAGAGAAAAGAAAAAGAACAAGTAAATTAAAAAATTATAACTTTATATTACTAATATAACGATGAGTATGGTGTAAAATACAGTATAATTTTTGTAATAACAATAAGTTTAATTTTTATTTTTGAAACATGATAATATAATAAACAGAATTTTAAATCTTCACTTTAAAAAGAAAATAAAAATAAAAATAAAATAATGAATATGTTAAATATCATCAAATGTTATTGTACATTTATAGAAAAAATAGAGATATAAAATAAGAGTCAACATTTTTTATAAAGTGGAGTATAGTAATTGCTTTTTACAAATATTAATTTTAACTATTTGATTAAAACAATAAAAATAAGTAATAATAGCTAGTAATTTATAATAACTTTAGTTCAATCATTAATTATACAGTCTAAACAATCAGTATCATCTTTAAAGATCTTTTGTGAATGGATTGAGTACATCGGGAAATTTTTTAAGGGGTATATGCCGATGAAAAACTCACGTGATATATATCAATAAAAATCACACTCGTCGAGTAATTTCGATATTGTTAAACAGTGATAAATATCATTATCTAACTTTAACCCAATCGATAATTATCAAAAGATAAATATCATTATTTGACCTAACCGATTATTTAACCAAAGTGATATATATCAAAAATATTTAATTGATAATCATCGAAAAATACTTATTACATTTATTAACGATAAATAATTAACATAAAATTCAATTGTTTTAATAATAGCAATACTAAATAACTAATAGAAAAATAAAATAAAAAATATTCATTACAAATAATACAACATATCACTAAGCATAAAAGTATGATCAATATCGAAATTACTTCTTGAGGGAAGCTTAAAGTTGTCCATGATCTTTATAAATACTTAGTCACTATGATCAAATAATTCATCGAAATTTTGTTCATAAGCTTCCTCTGAACGAGGCTCCTCTTCATTATCTTTCTCAACTACTACTTTCTTTTTCATTTCTGGGATTTCTTCTCGTAATATTGATATCGAATCAACAAGTTCAATAGATTCATTATTTAAGAGTGAATCCTAAAATATTAATTTAGAATTATAATTGAAAAACTTGATAATTTCAATTTTAATTAACAAAAAAATCACCTTAAATTTTTGAAAACGTCTTTCCAATGGTTTTCTTGCACATTCTATATCCGGATAGTTAGGATTTAATACAATATCGCACACAGATGCTGTAAAACATAAATATCGTTAAATAATAATTCATTGTCATAAGATAAGGTTGGAAATGCTTGTTTTGCAATATTCTCTATCACATTTTCATCTTCGTCATATAATTTATAATAGCATTTCTTGACCTTTTGTGATCTTTTCCATTCTGAAATGTCAACTGGAGTATTTTTTTTCTTGCTGCTTGGAATCTGTAATCCTAATTCTTTAAGAATTGCACTCCTGACTGCTGCGGCAGAGGTACTCCTTAAATCTTTCATTTTATGTTGAATCTAATTAATATAAAAAATTAATAAAATTTGAAATTTACAATTAAATTAAATCATATTTATGTAATTAATGATAATTACCATAGTATGATGGTTTCTGACAAACGAATTAGTCCACTTTCATTCACTTACTTCTTTTAAATAATTGGGATGATGTAAATTGAGCCACTTTTCTAATTCAGATTTAAAATCATCAAAGCTGGGCCACAAATTACTTGGAAAAAATTTTTGGCATACTTGAATATACCCTTCCTATATTATTTTTATTGTATAATGAAAATTATCATAGTTATTTAAAGATAATATGTTATTGAACAATAAAATTACTTACTGTGAAGACCTTTGGAGTCGAATCAACATTATTATTATTTTCAGTTTGCTGTCTTAGTTGATCTTGGATCCACTTTGTTTGATTATTTGTCAATTTTTGTAGCTCATATAAAACTCTAATTTGTTTTAATTGTTTTTTTAATATTTCTTCCAATTTATCTATTTTTTTTTCTAATTTGCTGCCATATTTATCATTAGGCCATACAAACTTGATTTTATGGTTTTCATAATATAAAAATTTCATCAATAACCTGGCAACCCAGCTTTTAATTTTTTTTTCAAAAATTTTATATGTGAAATTTTTTTTCAATTTTTAAAAAATTCTCACCCGGCATAGTAACAATATAAAAAATTTTTTTTAAGACCTAACAAAAACTGACCCGGCCAGACTATGAAAACCATTTTTACTACTTTGTGTCGCCTTACTTTTATGATGCTTCATTTCAGAGAGTTTTTTTGATGGATTATGTTCCTCATCAATTTCTATTACTTCTTGTTCTGTGGTTGGGATCAATGGTCTTAATTCCATAATTGGGGTTGTTGGTCTTGATTTAGTGATCGGGTTGTTAGTATTGGTTCTGAAATAGGGGTTATTGGTCTAGGGGTTATTGGTCTACTTGACAGAGTTGGTGATGATATAGGGACAATTCCTGATAAATTATGGTGAATTGTAATGATTAATTTGTTAACAATTATCAAATTATCATTATAAAATATTAATTATCATTATAATAACATTAAATAAATTGACCACTCGCCTGTTCGTCTAGTATTATTTTTTTTTTTAACATAACTGGCAATATTTCTGGAAACAGTTTTCTCTAATCAATCTATTTTACCCATAATGATAATAAGATAATAAATTTTAACTAGTAGTAGTAACATAATATAGCTTATTAATAAAAAATTATGACAAAAAAATTAAATTATTACTTTCAAGTGACATAAAAGTTCCTTGGGAGAATACTTCATATTCATCCACTTCATGTTGATTAGTTAACGTTTTAGTTTTTTTACTGGATTTATTTTTAATTGGAACTTCGTTAACTTCTTGTTCTTGTCCTTCATTATTATGTTCCCTAATGGCTGTTCTTTCGTTGGTATTTTTGTTGGTACTAGCTCTAAAATTATATTTCCGTTTATTCATTTTTATAAAATGTAAAAAGTAAATGTAAAAAGCAAACGTTAAGAAAAAAAGCTTAAATGAGAAGTTGCCTTATTTATATACTTTTTAAAAGTATAATAAAGTCTAATTTCACGTTTTTTACATGTTTTATACTAGATAAATTAAATCATTTTTTTTAACAAACTTACCATCCTAAAAGTATAATTTAAAGATCAGTAAAGTTATTTTAATTTATTTTAATGATCATTCAAATTGATTAATTTAACGAAACATATTAATCATACTTACAAAAAAAATATGTCATTTTCTTTTAAATTCCTTAATCTAAAAATGTAAATAATAGACATAATGATAAAATACTTAATTTTATTATGAAACACCAATGGTCCAATGATGCGCAGCACCAGTGTCACATGGTTTATTTGTATTGCGTGATTTGTGTCACTCATCAGATTTATTAGTTTATTTTTAATATTAACTATTCTCCCTTCTTTTCATTTTATTCGTCTCCAATTTTTAACGGCTTTAATTAAAACTTATTTTTGGTCTTTTGGAATTGGGAATTTATTTTCTTTAACTAACTATCTTTTTCTTTTTTTTTGGTTGGGCTGTTCACTTTCTTTTTTGGGCCTTATGGTTTTTTGTTTCTTTCTATTACTGTTTCATCTCCTATCATTCTTTTTCTATCTCCATTTCATTCCATATATTCTTTCATCTCCATTTCGTCCTATATCATTTCATTTCATTCTACACCACTTTTTCATCATCATTTTGTCCTTTAATCACCATTTCATCTCCTATCATTTTTTTCCACCACTATTTTGTCACTTATTATTCTTTTTCCATCTCCATTTTGTTCCACATTATTCTTTCATCATCTTTCATCTCTATTTCATCCTATCTTTTTTTTTCATCACATCCATATCACTTTATTATTATTATCATTCATTTCTTTCATCCACCATTTCATCTTATATCATTATTTCTATTACCATTTCGCTTTATATCACTTTTTCATCATCATTTCAACTAGGGATGGCAACTGTTACGGTCATTAACCGGTTATGACCAGTCATGACCGTGACCGATATCGGTCGGTCAGTCGATCGGTCAAAGGTTCTTGACCGGTTATGACTGACTGATGACCGACCATGACTAACCATTGCCATCCCTAATTTTAACCTATACCATTCCTTTAATTACCATTTCGTCTCCTATTATTTTTTTTACCACTTTTTGTTCTATATTGCTTTTCATCATCATTTCATCTCATAAACTGTTTTTTTCATTACTATTTTGTCTGAATCGTCTCCTATTGTTCTGTCGTCAGGCTGGATGTAGGAGGTGCAAGCACCACCCACCTCTAGGTCTATGACCCGTCGCAGTACCTATATGGCCCCTACAGGGCTCAGGAATCCCCATATATCTGCCACAATCTGGAACCACATCTGGAACAAATATATATACCAAATAACTAGAAAACAATAGAAAAGGAAGTAAAAACAGATATAATGAGAGGGTTGTCCCGAATGTGGCAGATGTGGCAGATGTTTCAGAAAAAATATGAGAGGACATCCCCCCAGAAAAAGTTTTATTTTTACCCCAGATCTGCCACATCCAGAACATCTGGAACAAGTCAGGATTCCGTCTAATAATCTGTTGGAAGCAGTGAGACAGCAAACCAGGTAAGTTAGCAGGTAAGCCCTAGAAGGTTTATAGAGCCAGTAAGACTAATCCCATCCAGCTCCCGTCAGAAAAAATAAGTAATTGAATAATGGGTATACAATAAGTAATATATAAGAATACCTAACACGAAATATGCATATGATGAACTTACACGCAGCCACTTCTCTTGCCAAAGACCTTGGTCTCGATCTTGTAAACATCTATGGAATCTATAAATGGATCCAAATGCAGGCTTCACCCCTCAACGACCCGGACATAGTAAGAGAGATGGTCAGAAACCTTCCGGTCAAAGAATTTGGAAAGCACCTCAAGATAAACAGACTCTGGTATAACTATTGTAAAGTTGAGTTGTGGAAGCGGCATGAGAAAGCCGAAGAGGCATATGACAAGGCAGTAGAAAAGAAGGAAAAAGTTGGGGATACTCTTGGTCAATCATTTGAGGAGGAGGGTATTGGAAATCGTGAACTTCATGAGCTTAATTGGAAGGAGTATCAAAAGGCTTGTAAAGAGTTATCAGAAGCTAGAAAAGAGCATTGTATGGTAAGGTGGGCTGTTGAGCGGTGTGGATTTCACTAGATATATATGGATTGAAAAAGAGGAAGAAAAGATTTAGAGCAATCGTAAAGGTTTGTGGTTTATAGTTTTTTTTTACACCTAGAAGATAACCAGATATAACTGTAGGACCGCAAAACCGCAGGATCACAGGATTACAGGAGGTAACCAGGTAGGAGCAGATCTTTGGAAAAAATATTCGGCAATTGAAGATTAGGTAACTATAAATTAGTACTCAATTTGATAGAGCAAAAAATGACTGCCCAAACTAGCACTCAAGCTTAAGTTATCCCCAAGTTCGGTGAACAGAAGAAGGCTTTTAGTATTGATGAGCTTAAATGGCTTATTAACGCTGCTAAAAGTATGAGTGACCTTGATCAAGCTAAATGTTATTTTTGCAGTTACTTTATCCCCTGCTCCAACCCGCATGGAGTCTTTATGTGGCGGTCAGAAATCAAGAACCTCGAGCATATTTCTGATAAAAATATTAATAAACTTATCCGTCCAATTACCAATAAAGTCTTTTACACACAATCCGAACAGGGTCCTTCACAAAAGGTTGAATTTAATATCAACAAATGGTTTATGATCGAATATAGTACTGTATGTGTAGCTACCTATGACCCTCAAAAATCCCATATCTTTAAACTAGGTGGCCAACTTTATCTCAATATCTTCCCAGGATTCCTCCATATCCTGCATCCGATATCCACTTTTGAATCTACAACCCACCTCGCGGTTAAATTTATCTTCTTCCACATTCAGGATATCTGGTGTTCAGGCGATTGGAATCTTACTGAGTATGTCATAAAGTGGTTGGCTGGTATGTCTGCTAAAAGGAAAATGTATTCGATTCTCTACCTGAAATCCGGACAGGGTTGGGGTAAGAGTATTATAACAGATTTCATTCAACGTAGTGTCTTAGGTACTCAACTTGTTTATAAGACCAGCAATCCTCAGACGATTCTTGGAAGTTTCAATGGGCAATTACAGGGTAAAGTTCTTCTTCTTCTTGAGAAAATGCCTACAGAAAAAAGCTAGTGGAATAATCTGTATTGATCGTTGAAGGATAAGGTAACAGGCGACATAATGGAAATCCATGAAAAATACAAGACGCCAACACATTACAAAAACTTTATATTTACCATTGTACTCACCAATAAAAATGCTCTCAGAGTGGAGAATGACGATAGGTGCACAGTATTCTTGGATGTATCACCATCCCGCAAGGGAGACCTCAACTACTTTAAGAAACTTGATGCTATGAAATACCCAAGCGCCAGTGAAGCATTCTATGCTTACTTGAGAGCCATTGCAGACGCTTACCCAGACTTCAATGGGAATCCATTACCTATGACTGCATCTAAGCAGGATCACATCATCTCGACTCTTCCACCCCTATTTCAATTCATAAAAGACATTTACCTTGTAGTAAAAAATCATATAAATGACCTACCTGTTCAAGAATTTTATAGGGTATATACTTCATATTGTGAAACTCATCACATTACACCTCTATTAAAGATAAACGCTTCTAGAATCCTATCAAATGAGTTGGGTATAAATAGCAGAAAAATACGTTGTCACCAGCACCTGCCACATACCGATAGATGAAATCCTAACATTTATAATTATATATATCCTTACTTGGTTTAGATTTTATCATTTAATTTAGTCAAATTTCAAACTGCGTTAATTTCTTTTAATGCTTTCATAACTTCATTATTTTGTTTTATTAATTTTTATTTTAAATATTAATTTTATCAATTATTAAACGTTTTCTAATATGAAGCCATATTAGTAACTCTATATTAACAACTAATACAATTATTAATTATCATTATATTTTCCTAAATTCCCAATATTATTCCCAATTCCAAGTCGAAACTTCATTCTTTCAATTAACTCCAAAACTGCGATCTTAAATATCTTTTCAAGTTACACTAATAAATTGATTATCTCTCGATTATCCATCTAAAACTCAACATTTCCCATTGCAATTCCATTACAATTTATCATTTTCCATGATTTTATCCAAACTGTTCCCATCATAATTTGGTATTATCCGTAATTTGTCCATTTCATAGATTAAATTGTCAAAGTTCTTCCATTCCATAGATTAATTGTCAAAGTCCTCCTAATATTATATTATTTCATTAGCGTAATAATAATCTATTCATACTAAACTAATAATAACTAATCTAATAATATAAATAATTATAAATAACTGAACTATAAATAAGTATTGCTATAAATAGCTAACTATTGTACAACTATAATAATGTATTTTCTAATTATTTCAGTTAAATATTCTTCTATTGGTTGAATATTTATCCCTGTTCCATTCGGTATATTATTTATCCTTTGGATAATTATTCTTCCGATCACGTGATTATCTCGATATTTAGGGTTACAACGTGAAATTAAACCAATAAATGGATTTTTAACCATGCTCTTTTTTTATTTCTTTTCTTTTATAGGACGCCTGTCTTTAGAACTCCTGTGAAAGATGTTTAATTACAGTAGTGTCCTTTTTTATTTTGTATTTTCCTTTGACTTAATTATCAGAATTCCCAGTATGATAACTGGTCTTTATGTTGTTCGGGTTGTGTGAAATTAGTAGGTGAAGGTAAACTTTTTGAAAAATAAATTCAAAAATGATAAAAAATTGTTGATTAACATTTTTTTCTTTTTTTTTATAGGATGGATTTTCAATTTACAAATAGATCAGATGGTGAGTTCAAAATTTTGAATTAAATTATTTCAAAATTAAATTTTTTTAA